TCTACAAACTGCAGTATATTACATCTACCAAAATAGCAATGTCGAAGAAAACTGACAGCGTTCTTTATTGCAGCTGATCTCGGCTATGCTGAATCGCGAACTTTATATTTTTTATGTATCGATATCATAAAAAAAAGTCGGCCTTCGACGATGGATGAAAAGATGCGCCCGTAATTTCACAGTATTTCTTTTTCTATGATCACCTTGTTGAATCTAACTTCACTAGAGAAGGCAATTTAATTTAATTTCGATCCTTTTACGCTCGCCTATAATCGAAGTCCTCTTCGGGGTTCCCTACCGTTCGTAATCCTGCTTATAAAATGGCCCAGTCTCATTACTGTGATTGCTTTTTATTCGAATACAAATAGAAGTGCTTTGTGGTAAGATAAGTTGATTATACCTCATAAAAAATGTACAACTGGTCATCGCTACTTTTGTTCGTTGGCTGTTGGATGACTACAATCCTGTTTGGACAAATAAATGCTGAGTAAAGATAACCTGCAAGTTTTATATTTTCACTAATTCGATTTGCTTTCGCTGTGAGTGATAGACAGAGAGAGAGAGAGAGAGAGAGAGAGAGAGAGAGACAGAGAGTTCAACTGAGATATCTTGATGTATGGGATATACATCGCTGTTTCGATGGAGGCACCTGTTTATCATTTGGTAATGGGGGCTATCGCTATTTGTGCCCAAGTCCATTTTGAAGGCAATCAGTGCGAACGAATGCCACAGAATCCCGATTCGAGTATGTTTTGTTGTGGGCGCTGAAGAATTGTGTGGCAATGAGTCATCAGAGAGTTAAACGTTTCGATATGCAATCGACTTCTGGTACGGATAGATGATGTAATTCATTGATGACGGATTTGAAAAAATTCGACATACAATTGAGCTTTCCTTTTACCAATTTATTTTGTGGCAAGTGGCAAAAAAAGATTGTTCGTAGCAATTTTTCAATGGTAAATCGAGTAGCACTCGTTATTGAGAAAGTCATACTTGCCCAGCTCTCTACTGCAGGCAAGAGTCCTGAAAGGTACGATCGGTAGATCAACATTATTCATGATCGACGAAATTCTTCGAAGTACATATGCATATGTTATTTAGAATTTGATGCGCCTTTTCAAGCTCTACAAAAGCTTTGTATATTACATCTCTCAAAATGACGATGTCGATGAAATTCGGCAACATCCTTTATTTGACATAAATCTAACGAGAGAACATATCCAACTGTTAATCACCGATCGACTTGAAATTTTGCCCATAAGTAGGGCTCGATTAGACTAGAAGAAGACTAAAAGGGTTCATCCCCATACACTGTTCTTCCCGAGTTATGACCGTTTTACTGACTTTTCGACCTCTGACAAGGGATTTATGGAAAAATCGAATGATGATATGTTGACCTGAAATTTTTCTCCATTAATAGGTATGACGGTCATTCGAATGTTCTAAAACTTGCAACCAAAAAGAATCTTGTCTTCTCGCGATGTTGAGTATTCAAAAAGCTATAATATCGCACAAAAAAGTGAGAAAATTGAATTTTCGGTAGCATGCAATATCTCGAGAAGAGAACATTCATTTTTTTTACTGAAATTTGTAGAACATTCTAAAGGCCATGAGACTATTAATGAGCAAAATTTCAGACCAAAATAGCGTCAATCGATTGTTACCAAAAATCCGTGGCCAGGTCGAAGAAGATTCGGTAAAACCGCCATAACTCCGGCAGAAAAGCGTATGGGGACGAACTCTTCTAGGCTTCTTCTAATCTCATGGAGCCCTACTTATGGGTATAAGATCAACTCGTTCGACGATTAACAGTTGACTATGTTCTCTTGTAAGAGAAATGCGACGATTTATTTCCATACTTCATATACGATATAGTGGCGTCCTAATTTTTCACAAATAATATCATTTTTGCTGAAACAAATATCTATGACTTTGTACAAGCAAAGCTAGCTAATCGCGGCTATGATGAACTCCGAACTAGATTCTTAAGCGAATTTCGAATTTTCATAAGCGTCAAGAATATGGATATCAATTATCCGTTAGTGCTTTTTTTTCTTCGCCTTACTTGTTTTTTAAGACGCCACAGTAAACCTTGTGGGATTATGTTCCATTTCTTCAGCTATTGGCCAAGCAATACTCATCCATTCGTCTTTGTTGCTTCCTCTAATCAACAGTTTTATCTATTATGAACTTTTCGGTGTAATAGAAGAGGCGTGGGCATTGCCAACAGTCGAGTGATTTCATCCGGTCCACAAACATTGAGTGTCAAAAATTGTACAAAACAAGAAAAGGACATCTCAAAAAAGTGCAGCAGGCGGTTCTGCGATCACTCTATCTCCACTTATTTCGCTATCGTTGGATCCCAGAGTGTCTGAAAATTTGGTCGATAAGATCGGCAAATGTCTAATTTTTTCCACTCTACAAGTTCGTTTATTTTGCCTTAATGTTGTCAGGATTCCTTGAGTTTCTATTCCATTTTCAAAGTAAAAAAAATTCATCACGTTCTTCAATCTATGAAGTGAAAATACCTGTATTTGTGGTAGTTATGCTCATCCTGGCCCCCAATAACCTACCAGGAACTGTCATCAAAAATTCGGAGAAAGTGCAAAATAGAAAAACTCATTTTTTATTGGTCGATTTATGGACCAATAGAAGCTTGCATCTAAATTCCGACCTCAGATTCGAGTTTCCTGACCTCGAAAACCTATAACTGCCTTGTAGAAAATCGCGAATATATGGCTTCGTTAACTTAGAAACTTGGCTACTATTTTCGACCAATCAGATTGCGAGTTCCCACAACAATTAACGGTTTGTAGACTCTTTCTTCAGGAAAGAGAACATCGACTACACGCACCCACATCCACACCCTACTCATATATTTACTAGAAAGATGCGAATGAGGGTACAATATAAATGGTAGTGTCACACTACATTGGAGGCGACGTGTCCACCGCTTGCATTCGCACGTAGGTCATAATAGTATCATAAGAGACATGTAAGTCAGCTATGGTCCGATCCAGAACTGTTGTCTATATATAGGCTTCCCGTCTCCGCAGGGTTAACGACCTCCTTCTTTCATTCATCCACAATCAACATTTCTCGAATCTTACAATTCTTGTAACCTTCAGCTGTCTGACATTTTCAATTTTCAAAAATGTCGAAGTCCACATCGTGAAAGTCTACTATCGATCGAAAAAACTCTCCGGCTCCTCCCTGAATAGTTTCCCTCTGACGGGATTCGGGTGGCACAGAATGGCAGGTGACGTTCATCGATGACTAATTGACTTAGCTATAGATTCAAAAATTATGAATCTTCTTGATTTCAAGCCCTTCAAAATCCGGAATCGGAATGAAAAACATAAAATAATCAAAGCAAAAGAAATCGCAGAAATCCAAAAATTAAGAAAAAAAGCTGTATATCCAGAAATGATTCAAAGATTGAAAGCTAGGAAAATTGGAAAATGCAGAAATAGAAAGCTCAAGTTGAAAACCAATACAAATACATTGTTTAATCTAAAACTCGTAAGGCAACAAATAAACAATAAAAAAAGAGTCCGTAAAATCGAGACAAAAAATAAAACAATCATTCATATTTAGATAAACAATGGTTTAGAAACGTATTTCAGAGACAGACAAATGATTTAATTACGTTCGCCAGACCCTAGGCTTTCAGTCTAGGAAATTAAGAGATTTCATCCTATGAGAGTTTTCCCAGAGAGCCATTGGAAGAACAACATTCTACCTTACGGGCACCTCCAAGAATCACGGTTTATTCATTTCAGGGACACCTATCCGAGGAACCAATGTCGCTCTCACTTCACAAGCCCGATGGAACACGACTGGTACCACTGTAGCTGGTGGAAATGGACAAGGTGGAGGGTTGAATCAACTCTACTTACCACACGGGTTGTATGTGGATGAGGATCAAACAGTCTATGTGGCTGACTATAGGAATGACCGCGTTGCGGCCTGCTCAGCAGGGATCACCTCTGGTCAAGTGGTGGTCGGTGGAAATGGACAGGGAAACCGGTTGGATCAGTTGCATGGGCCAAGCGAAGTGATCGTCGATCGCTCGACTGATAGTCTCCTCATCTGCGATCGCGGCAACAGACGAGTAGTTCGCTCGCCTCGTCTTGGTTGCGCTCGTGGAGAAATACTCCTCTCCGACATCGACTGTTACGGTTTGACGATGGACGATCTTGGATTTCTCTACGTCTCTGACCTCGTGAAACACGAAGTGCGACGCTTCAAAGTGGGTGATTCGCAAGGCACATTGGTGGCCGGTGGGAATGGCGGAGGTGCTCGTTACGATCAACTGAAGGTCCCTACCAACCTCTTCGTCGATCGAGATCACTCGGTATACGTGTCAGATGACAACAACCATCGTGTGATGAAGTGGGTGAAAGGCGCCAAAGAAGGTCAAGTGGTGGCTGGTGGTTACGGCTACGGGAGTGGTGTGAAACAACTATGGTATCCGTGTGGAGTGCTCGTCGACGAGATGGGTACTGTCTATGTAGGAGATCACAACAATCATCGAATCATGCGTTGGCCCCCAGGGGCCACTGAGGGTAGTGTGGTTGTCGGTGGTAACGGCAGAGGAGACAAAGCGAATCAGTTGTATGGTCCCGTGGGTTTGTCCTTCGATCGTCACGGTCATCTCTATGTTGCCGATCGCGAAAACCATCGTGTGCAAAAATTTGAACTTCTCTCACCGTGATCTGTATCACTACAGCTAAGACATAAATTGAAGCTCACTTGACCAGCTGGTCGTAAACAAGAGAGCCAAGTTCACGGACCCGAAGATCACGTAAACTCGATGGGCCCTATGCGTTGCCATCACCGTTCGAACAGAAAGGGTGTGGGTGCGGATGTGGGTGTGGGAGTGTGGGTGTGGGTGTGAGTGGGTGTGACTGTGGGTGTGGGATGTGGGTGTGTGGGTGTGGGTGGGTGGGATGTGGGTGTATGCGATACCGTCTTTCCGCCCACACCCACACCCACACCTACACCCTATGCTTCTCATTGATTAACATCATATGCGCTATACCTGGTAGTCCACCAGTATGTCCAAAATATTGATGACCATCGTTCAATGTTGACCAATACCAACCAAGTGCAGCTGTTGACATTTGGGTTGTTTCAATAGCATTATCAATTGAATTTTCGGAGTAGAAAGGAATGAGACCATTTCCAACTATAATTCGCATTTCAGCTATAGATCGAGTAGTAAGTATGAAAGATCCATTGTTGATGATCATACGAAGATATACAGAGAGAGAACGAGCTGTCATACGAAGCAGACCTGCAGGATAGGCTCCGATACTAAAAAATGAAATGTACAACCATGTTGGAAAACTTTCTTACAAAAAAATGAATTATAAAGTCAGATCAATATTACATATGAACGATAGCAATGCTTTTACCAAAATTTGTGTAATATTGAACTGTGGCATTTCCTCATTCCACAGTGGAAGAAAGGATTCATTTATTGCATATATGTACATAATGTTTGACCAGTTCCTTTCTGTTTTTAAAATCACTCAAACGAAAACCTGTTTTATGAATATCGATATTTAACGGTTTTAAAATAAACTCTTTGATATATTGATCATAAGGCATTTTTGTAACTCGTTCAACAACTAATGCAGCTAGAGATGAACCTTCATTGGAATAGAAGGCTACAGTATCAGGTGGTTTTGGTAACCAATGCGATGAATTCGGACTGAAATAGGTAAAACACATATCAGCTAAAACTGTTTCTGAGGTGAACACCGTATCATCCGGTCGAATGAAATTCGTAAGCGACGAGATCGTACCATTAATTGAAGCTGTATGTGAAAGTAATTTACGAAGAGTGATGGCATGTGAAGGATATTGTGGATGAAAGATTTTTCGATCAGGTTCTGATAAGTATAGATTAATATCAGCGTCAAGATCAATTAGGTTTTTCTCGACAAGCTGCATGACAGCCACACCAATAAATGTCTTTGAAATCGATGCTAAAGTAAAAATTGAGTTATCAATATCTATTGAATGTTCTGGTAAAAGTGATTGGTATCCAAATGCTTGTTCGTATAGTGTATCAGTGGCGTTTACTACAATAATAGCCGCCCCAGGGATATGAACTTTGCCGAGAGATTCTTTGATGAATTTTCGATCTGGACAATTCGAAGCACTTCTAACAATAACAATAGAGAGAAGAACAACTGCAAATCGTAATAGATGCAGCATCTGTTGGTTTCTTTTGATAAAGAGTAGTTTTTGTCTTGTTCTCGTGTTAGATTACAAAAGCATTAAATTCAGAAGAATGATGGGTTATCAAGCATTGCTAATACAAGAATAATGATTAAAATGCGGTAAATATTTTTGTTTTTTTTTTCTGTTCTTTTCTCTTTAAGATTTTAATCTTCTAACATAACTTCAACATTATTCATAGATGAATGAAAGATGAAGAACAAATATAACGAATAGATTCTTTATAAGATTATTTAAAACAAGAGCTTATCACAGTAATCTAATAACGTCACTTTTCCTTTGTCCTAGGATCAAAATTACTCGAAGCCACATTCTATTTACAAAAGAATTATTTTCTCTACTTGAATTCGCGTGCTAGGTGATATCCATATTCATGGTATACTGTTTCGTAGAGAGGATACCATCAAATATGTGAGAGATTTGGACTTTACTTTAATTAAAATCTGAATATTCTAGAAAATCATCGAAGACTCTAGGTTCATACATGATGAGACAATAAATCTGATGATTTTGCATCACGAACAACCATTTTTTACCAAAGTTTTGATAAGCAATCACTGATATACAAACAGTTTTTCAAAATAAATCACTCTCAAAAGTCAATCATTTTTACTGAAAAGTGAGTTAAACGTGATACTACAAATTTATCATCCATTGGCTTGATTTTTTTCAGTGAGGATTAGAGATGATCATCGTTTTATTTGATTCTGTTTTCAATAAAAATTTTCCATTTTCGAATACAGATTCTATTCTATGTACGAACAACAGACTCTACACAAATTGGCCAGAGTAGACATAGCATTCATATTTCTTCTTAGTTCGATCGATTAAAGTCAGACTACATCATGAACACAAACAGGTGAACTTGCGAGAATATAAATTGTGAATGTTGAAGGATGAAACAGTGTTTACTAAAGGAGAAGTAGGTATTTTCAGTTTATGACGCACCAGTTAATAATCCTATTATTGTAAGCATGCTTAGTATAAAACTATAAGAATCAATTTTTTCCAGTAGTCATAAAAAAACTTTCTTCAAATTATACAAATTTGTTATTATATATACAGCCCTGAGTTGTTTCATAGTCTATAAATACATACAAGTACCGCAACGTCTGCTAGTTCAACGTTTCTAAAGTATTTTCATCAAATCACGTTAGGACATAAGTATAAATCAGTGTAACCATGAATGTAGTTTGTTTTTGTCTAGCAATCATTTATTCAAGTATAGAATTCTAGGATATTTATATACATTAGAAATACTCATGTTTCGTATTCGAAAAATTCCCCAATATGATATGTTCGATTTTTTCTACTATGCCATACATAAGATATTTTCAATCTTCTCATATATATAGAGTACACAAAAGTTGAACTGCTCTGTACTTCAGTATGTTAGCCAGAAAAAAAGCTTTCTATCGATGTTTTCTCAAGAAATTTATTGATAATGACTATTATTTAATCAATAAAATTTTCGTAGATCAATGTCTCCGTGAAATAATCTATATATAAATCGAATTGATATAGACCCACAGAAATCTTACCTTAAGAGTTTGATTCTTATCGGCGTCTAATCATATTAACGATTATGTTCTAATAGAGTTATCAACACTCATAATTAAAAAAATGTGCGGTGTGGGTGACACTAGACATCAGTATCAATCAACTGTAAACTTATACCCGCATTCATTACATTTTTATTTGATATTTGAATTGTGAAATCTTCAAGAATTAGATCATGTATCCATTTTAGTTAACTGAAAAGCAATATTTCTATAATCGAAAGCTAGAGAACAAATTAAAATAGTTGAAGAATGTTTATTAAAATAAAAAAGATATATTTAGTACTGAATACACTATGAACGAACAACGATTAGGTATTTCATGATGACAGTTTTGACTTAGCAATACATTAAATATTTTTCTTCGACTAGTTATTTTCTCCTAATAACATTTGATGGTGATGAATTATATTAGTTACAATGTTCCATTTAAATGCGAATTATACTATTCACTAATGTTTTGTTTGCATCTTGCGTTGACTTGTGCTGGGTGGTGCAAGATTAAATGTGATTGGACGAACTTGATTATCATCATGTAGTCGCAGTATTTTGTACACCAATCGACCGAGTTCTTTTCTATATATTTGAGCCGAAATGAGATACAATATGAAGGACGTGGCATAGGACAAATGAAATAGAAGTTGACCTATGCCGCGGATTAAGGCAAAGACACTTGTAGTTCTAATTGTGTTTGGCATGATCAATATTAGATATGTTACGCATGGTGGTAGAGTAAGTACAATATGAGTGCTAACTTGAAAGAAAAGCATGCGAGCAAGTTGATGTTCAGTGCGGCGATAGCGTGAAACTATGACAGGAATGACTCGCATCTGTTTTGTATTGTAGATAGTCAGTATGCCGAAGAGAGCCATGAGAAAAGGAGCCACAATAACATACAGTAAAACTTGCAAGATTGGATAGATTTGTTTGTAGATAGTGTCGGCTCGAATACGACATCCTAATGTATCAGTTGATCTTAAATCGATTAGAGCTGCAGTATTTACGCAGAAGAGTGTGAAGAACATGACAATAAAGAGAATTGCCCATCCAGCTACTATGGTATTGTTGTACTTTCGAATTCGGACACTTGTTGAGCTGCTACAGTATCGATCGATCGAAGCAAGTACAATAAAGTATGGTGATAATGCTGTACATATGTGGTAAATATAAACAACGAGTTTGCATGAAATCACAGAAGATTTGGTCAGTTCAAGTTGATATCCATCAACCAAAAGACGATAAAGAAGCATTACACTTGTGTAAAGTAGATTGTTGCCAGCCAGGGCCAAAAAATATCGAGAACAAGCATGAGGATATAGGACAGGTCTAATAAGAACAGCAATATTGAGTGAATTTCCTGCTATACCAATAAACATGATCATAGGCACGATTATTTGTGTCAAATGGATTGAAACTTGTACTAAAAAGTCGTTCATCGTTGCTTTCTTCTCGTATTCTTGTTTGAATGTGCCAATTCTAGCTTTTCTGTGATCAACATTTGATGTGTATCTTTATATATATATATATATTTATGCTCATTATTATAATTATATCCCCGGAAGCAAAACTTACCTTATTATTTTTGTTAAGAGTTGAATATATAAAAAATTAATTGTTTATTAGAGTTAATTCTTTGAAATGACGTGATCAGTCAGCAAGCAATCTCATTACCGTGTCTTATTAAGATGATGTAAACTACTTGAAGATTGCTCTGTGGCATTTGATAGCACTGGGAGATCCATAATTAATCATCGTATTCAAATATCCCACATTTCACTTTTAATTGCGAAAAATAAAAATAAAAATAAAAACTGTCCAATATATTTGAAATTGATAGACTTTCATGGAAAACAGATCATTTAAGATCCATAACTGGTAGTTTTGTAAGACTTATGAATTACTACGGAGAAATAATCAGAAATGACCATTTATTCTTAGTGTAGCTTTGAATTAAACACAGCGCTTACGTCTGACTTGTAGACCACAAGCGAATTTGTGAATCAAGTGAAGCATCTGACTTTTCGTAATTGTAATTTGTATAAATCTAGTTTTAGTTGTTCAAAAACTTCAATTTTTTTGTACACCATGCGAAAGATTATTATATAATGTTAACTTATTAATTATATTAGCAGGAATTAGAACGCTCTCTAATTATGATCGTAATTGCTATTCATAGTTCTCCAAGTATGCAATTAGTCGACATAATTTCTTTGAACTAGAAAACTAAATACTAAGAAGTACTATAAGGAAAGAAACAGTGAAAGATTATAATATATAAACGTTGTACAACAACGTGAATATGATGAGTTTCATATTTAAGATAATATCATTATATAGAGTATTGTCTGAATCCATGTACAGATTATCAGACTAAAAAGAAAGATAAAAATATTATTACAGAGTCAAAGAAACCGTTTTATTTGAAGAAAGTATATGAAGACTGCAGAATGATGCATATAAAACAATTAAAAGATTAAAAGGAAAAAAGAAGTGGAGAAAAGGAAAAATGGATATTAATGTAGTCATCTTCGAACTAACATATGAAAATAGTCTATTTTAAATAAGCTACGAGTTTAACTTAGGTTTCTAAAATTTTGAGAAAAATTGACACTCCAATATTTTTTTGGACTGTGCTTATTAAATGAGTACAAATGATTCTTTGCCACGAAATTTGTCAAAAGATCTTGTATCAGTAGCTTCAATCTATTATTCAGCAACATCATGGCAAAAGTTTACGTATAAATACTAAGCATATATACATCTAAGAGCTCTTCATAATAGATCAATTGAAATAATATTCGACTTCATTTGATGTTTTGATATAATTTATATTCACATAACCCTTGATCGTCAAATAAAACAAGAAAAATTTCATCTATATTACAAACTTGAGGATGTGGGTGTGAGTGTGGGTGTGTCGATACTAATCTCTTTTCACACCCATACCCAAACCTTTAATTCGATTTAAATCTTATATAACTCGAGAAGAATTCAAATCGTAATTTGATATTATCTATTTTAAGAATGGCATCTTTTAGAAATCTATGTTATATAGTATATAAAGTCGTAATATAGACAATTATAAATATTCAAATAATCATTAAATATTTTGAATGCCCCCCCCCCCTCGCATTAAAAGACTCCCCATATTAGTGGACCCCAATAATAGAACACCCCCGTGGAAAAAAATTTCATCGGGCGTATTAGAAGACCCCCCTTTAATTAATTAATTTTTTGCTAATTAAGAATTTTAATTAACGGATTTCCGTCCACATGTGCATGGATTTTAGGATTTTCAGCTAAGAACGTTTATAAAGTGAGTCTAAATGTATCTGTCAACACCCAAAACCGTCAAAATCCCTATGAAAATCCTGAAAATTGTCCTGGGTTTCGTGAAAACCATCATTAGTTAATAAT